TCAGAGTCTGACACGACCAAGGTTCCTTTCGGTTGTTCCAGTGTGACAATACACTCACGTTTACTGCCATCGTGACGGACCGTGACAATACCACAACCCGTCATCGATGAACTGCCAAGTTGAGAAGCTGAAGTTTGCACTACACTTCCGGCTACTCGGTGTGGTTCGATTACGGGTGCGGACGAGTCATAGCGTGCAAACAAGATAAGTTCAAGATCATCCGGAGGTATCTAAAAAGAACGATAAAATGCTCTCTCAATAATTGACACTGTTGTGTGGCAGTTTAGGTTGTTGTCGCTCGGTTGTATTTGTTTGTATTCTTTGTATTGTAATAACTTTAGTAGGCATAAAGCCTACATTTCAGTTAAAATTATACTTTTTTTATTACACACCTAGGTGTGATGAACAGCAGACGAGGTAAGCCCCATATTCACGAGGACCTGCTGTTCAGTGGTTGAAATCGGCAACCTAAGCCTCGGAACTTGGAGTGGTGAACCACATAAGGTCCCGATAGGTTAGGCGTGCTATTGAACCGGACGACAGCAGAGCTGCCTACCACCAAAGTCGAGTGGCGGGGCTCGAACCACGGACCATAGGGTCCAAAGCACGCCGGTGAGTTGGAGAAAGTAAGAAAATTTTAAAAAAATGACGATAGTTAAATCCCAAAACTGTCTGTAAAAACCTGTTTTTTGTTAACTAGAATACGTGCTAATGAGGGTACTGGAGAGTTATTCGAGAAAGAACACAACAGTATTGGGATCTAGTTGACAGAGGGGAACAACAGGAAGTTAAATCCGTTGTGTAGCGGATGTGTGGATTCGATAAGAATCCTATGTGCAAACATTTTACATGCATTCACAAGACGTTCGCACAGGTTAGTTACCAACTCCTCCAGCGGGATTGAAGGGACATAGTTAATGATGGTTAGTTTACGTTGAGGCAGTTTAAGATCTTCCTTCAGGAGATTGGAAAAAATATCAGGTGAACAATAAAGTAAAACGGGGAAAACACAGTGGTACACGAATTTAGAAATAATCGCTCTTTGAATAGGAAACTGACGAATTTTACGGATATAAAGAAAGTCGTCGAAGTTTACTGAATGTTGAATGTGAGAGATCCAATGAAGGTTTTCATCAATAAAAACCGGGGTATTCACTACAGCTTATCCGGGATATTGGTTCAGAGCCAATCGATACCGGTTAAGATGGGAAAGAAGAGGGTGATAATGTAAAGAGATTCAAAAAGTTTGAAAGACCAGAAGAATCGGAGATGGCCTAACATAAAACCACATTTTCAGAGAATTTGAAGAGAGTAGGGACGCTAGCAGACAAGTCACTAATATATACATATACATATACGTAGAAAATAAGTATGGGGAAAGAACTGCATCTTGGGGTACTCCAGAATTGTTCAACAACGGTTTGGTTTTCTTTCGACCAAACCTAGTGCATTGAGTTCTCCCGGAGAACGCATCGGTAAGCCAGGCTAATATTTGTCTAGGAGAACCAAAGATCTCCAGTTTACGAAGACGATAGGACGAAAGCACTTGGTTAGAACGTTCAAAGTAGATGATTTGGAAATGAAACAATTGTTACCGCTTTCTAAGAGTCTGGTATAGGGCAAGGTTTTAGGGAACTGTTCAAAAATAATGTGAATATTGCACTGAGAGAAGGGAAGATGAAAGACCATCGGAACCAACACTGCACGTGATTTTCAAGGTACACAAAAGCTCAAAAGTTTCTTCTTTCGAGACGGCCCCTACTTGAACCGCATCATCCAGAACAAACGTCGGGATGGCATCGCTTGATGGGTGGATAAATGCTGCATTAACACTGCCCAAATCCGTGGTACAATCCGGAGTTTTGGATTTGGTTCCACACAGTAATTTGATACCTTGTCCAATTTGCTTACTATTGTTGAACTGCAGAAGCTGGGAGGCGTACAACACAGAGGAGTTCGACTTCAGCTTTGATCAAGTTGATGTAATACTTGACAGCCAGTGAGTCTCTAGATTTGTACGATCGTTTTGTATTCTGAAAGATTATCCATTCGGTGGACTAGTGAGAGCAATTGCAGCTAGGTGTACAGTTTCGATGAAGATACAGGAAATAAATGAACTGGATATGAGCAGCAAGTGCACATTGTACACATAAAATCAATGAAGTGACACGGGGATGCGGTGCTTGAAGGCATACCTATTGCCATTCTTTTTAAATGAGAAACCTACTTCGCGAGAAGTATTACTAGACGTCCGAGCCGGAGTACCAGTTGGTCTTAAAGAAACCCAACTTATGCTTTTGACTAAAGGATCTAGTATGCGACGCCCTGTAGCAAGACACCATCCACGAAGCCTTGGGAACCGGTGACCAGTATTTCGGTTTGTAAGCTTTTGGTTGATTCAAACCAGGCATTCAACAATTTCAGAAGAGTCAATAACTTAGAATACAATGGTTCACACAAAGTGGAGGGATACGACCGTCACGTCACATCACTGTATTTAGACTAGTGCGGTTATGTAAGGAAAAGATTGGCAGCGCGAAAGCTTATCGCACCATCTCGTACTGAAGCTGATCGTCCGAGGCCGCTTAATAAAGGATTGAGCCTACTTTACTCACCTCGTATGTAATAAAAAAATATATAACTACCAAATTGACTGACTGGGGGAACCTAAGATAGCATGCAGATCAGTACCTGGAGTGAGTAGTTACACAAATGCCGCTGTTAACGAAATTCAGCAATGCCACTTACTATCTAACCATACAAATTAGGTCGATCATAAGATCCCCAAAGAGAAATTCTGATTCAACATAGGCGACCGAGAGCCCTGGTCAAGTGTTTCATGCCCTCATTGTAAGTCCAACTCTGGTTTTCTTCCACTCAATACCCGCCTCGACAAACAACGCATATGGGGGAGCCTACCAGGGGGCGTGTGTAACACATCTTCGTATTCTATGGAGATCAAGCACCACTGCCTAGAAGCTCTACAGTCAACCTCTGTGTTCCTTGTTCGATTATGGCATCGAAACCGTGCAATGGGACGTAGACAATAGTGTTTGAACACCGATAGTTTCTCTTGTTGCTTCGTTTATAACAAATTTGCCTGTACTATACACAACTGGTCATACAGCTTTTGGACTCACTCGGTCCTTCACATACAACAGCATGTCGCAGCGGCTCTGGAGGTATCTGAAGTCATCAAAAGTTGAGGAGAATAGGATCCCTTCGACTATGAATTATAAGCACAAAGGAACCTAAAACAGTGCAACCAGTTTGTCAGTTTGAATTAACTCCGCCTTATGATTTACGAGATGGGTCAAAAGGGGATGTGCAGACACAGAAAGCTTACCAGAACTGTTATGTCCGATGATATGCTTATGCAGGTTATTTGATTCGCTCCAGTCAGTAGGCAATTTATTTTTATTACACACCAGTGTGTGATGAACAACAGACGAGGTGGAACCCTTAACCGCGAAGACTGGCTGCTCAGTGATGGAAACCGGTAACCTAAGCCCCGGGACTTGAAGTGGTGAACCACATACGGATTCGCTAGATCAGGCGTGCTATAGAATCGGGTGACAACAAAGCAGCCTACCACCAAAGTTGGGTGGCGGTGGCTGGGCCCGAACCTCGGACCACAGGATCCAAAGCAAATCGGTGACAGAGACTAAACTACTGCACCGCCACCACCCTACGCGCAAGTAGATTATACGTTTCGTAGCCCTGAAACAGTGGTACGATACACCAATCCACGACCAGGAAGGTTGAATCAACAACGCAAGCATGCGGTCTGAGTGGTTTCACTTGTATCTTAGACATGAAGCGTATCCAAACTCTTCTCTACCGCAACTTCATATCATAACAAAAATTCATATTGTTTGCCCACAGTCACTTACCGAAACCGTCTCTCTGATGATTTCCTTGCCCAAACTCCAATCCGCGGGAAGAACGGACTCGGCCGCAGTGATGACAGTTTTACTCAGCGGTTGATCACCGACCGCCGTTACACGATGTGAGATCACATTGATCGGTTGTTTCACAGTGGCTTGAATGAGACCAGTCAGGGGACTAGTTGGACAGGCGATACGCTGCAATTCCGGAGAATCTGTGGCCACGATGATAACAATCGAATCTTCGGGAACGAGTTCGGCCTAACAAATAATACCAACGTAAGTGGCCCCGATTAGATTTGCGAGAATAACAGAAAGAGTAAAGACGAAATATAGCTGTTAACTCAGAGGTCATGTGCATAGTCGTTGGCGCGCCACTGAAAGAATCAAATAAAAAGCATCGTTCTTGCGATAATTGAGTGCTGTTAAACAGTAATGGTTCATGAATAACACCCCGATATTGCAGCAACAGAAATAAACCGCTTTGTTGTGGTCCCGCTCTGTTAATTCTGATACGTCATCACTTCCGATCTTAAGTAGACAAAAGCCACAGAAATAGCTCACCGCTTACTCATGTTCCGGTAACGTGACTGTTTAGAATTAGACGTTGCACTTCAAATAAAACGCCGCCTGTCGATTAAATCGTACGTGAATTATATCAACACATTGTAGTTACAAGAGCAAGACGCTCAAGTAGAAATAGACGAAATTGAAGCTGCGCATCACCTCGCACATTTACCGTTGAAAAAGGGACCACGCATCCTTTACGGATTTTGTTAGGAGCGAACCAGCTGACCCGTTTATTGAAGGGCAGAACTAGATCGCGCAGATTAAATCAATTTCACTTCTGCAATTCCGAACTAATGGACAGCTGAACACTCAATGGTGGTGTTTTTGGTAGTATTAGTATTAGTAGTTTTGTTACAAAATCACCATCCCAGTGTCAAA